TCTGATGTTATCCTTGCTTCTGCACGTACAAGAGAAGCCTTTAGAGATGTAAGTCAACATTTCTTCCAATGTTTTTCCTACCTAGGAATACCAAGGGCACTTAAAACAGACAATGGGTCTGCCTATACCTCTAGAGCTTTTAAAAACTTATGCTCTATATTCGGCATCACACATACTACAGGAATACCCTACAATACTCAAGGACAAGCAATAGTAGAAAGGGCTCACCAAACTTTAAAAACACAAATTAAGCTGAAACTGGTTTGGCTCAGTGGATAGAGCGTCGGCTTGCGGACTGAAGGGTCCCAGGTTCGATTCCGGTCAAGGGCATGTACCTGGGTTGCGGGCACATTCCCAGTGGGAGATGTGCAGGAGGCAGCTGATCGATGTTTCTCTCTCATCGATGTTTCTAACTCTCTATCTCTCTCCCTTCCTCTCTGTAAAAAATCAATAAAATATATTTTAAAAAAATAAAAATAAAAAAAATTAAAAAAAATTAAAAAAAAATAAAAACACAAATTAAGCCGAACCGGTTTGGCTCAGTGGATAGAGCGTCGGCCAGTGGACTCAAGGTCCCAGGTTCGATTCCGGTCAAGGGCATTTACCCTGGTTGCGGGCACATCCCCAATGGGGGGCGTGCAGGAGACAGCTGATCGATCTTCTCATCAATGTTTCTAACTCTCTATCCCTCTCCCTTCTTCTCTGTAAAAAATCAATAAAATATATTTTAAAAAATAAATAAATAAAAACACAAATTAAAAAATTACAAGAAAATGAGTTTAAATATTCCTCTCCTCATCATGTTCTACAACATACACTGTTTGTACTTAATATACTAAATGTAGATTCTGAGGGATATTCCCTGATGTACAGACATTGGAACCCTGATCTAACTAAACCTAAAGCCCTCACCAAATGGAGAGACTTGCTTACAGGAGCCTGGAAGGGACCTGATGTATTTTTAACTTGGGGGAGAGGATATGCTTGTATATTTCCACAGAACGCAGACTCGCCTGTGTGGATTCCAGACCGTCTAGTCCAACCTTATGTCTCACAGCCCTCCGTCTCCGCCTCACCCTCCTCCTCCCCAGTATCACCCATATCGGCAGACCCAGAGGGCACAGCTGACTCCTCCCCGGAAACCAACACCACCATCAAGCACAGCCCTGATGGACCCGTTGGTCCAGCCGTTCAACGTGCTGACGCCTTGGGAAGACCGTCGCCAGCGATGATGCCCGCTAGCCAGATCAACGAGGACAACCAAACCACCGACTTTAGGACAGCTGAAATCCCTTGACTGAAGAGGCCAGCAACCTTCTACAGGAACAAGGCTCCGTGTGCACTCCATCCACTATGTTTATAGCTATGCTCGCTATCATTGCTTGTCAGTCTTCTTCCGAGTCTTAAACAACCCAATCCGAGAGGTGGCCGCTGATTTACACACACTAACATTTAAAAAATAAAAAAGGGGGAATTTGCCGGAAGCCGGTCCATCCTTGCTGCTTGACACAGTCGCTGCAGGGAAGAAACATCTGCACAGCATATGTTTCAATGGACCTGGCGTATATGGCATACTGTTCTTAATATGTTTGCTCCCCTACTTAGCACTATGTGTTTACACCAAGGTCACCTCTCCAAGAAAGGTTGTTTCCCCAGGTGGGGATTTTTCCCTGGAGTTAGGGATTAACAGGACTAAGGAAGGAATAAATCAGTAAAACCCCTTAACTAAGTGCCAGGTTGTAGTTAATCACTTTAACTACGAATAATCTTTACTACCTAATCTTTACTTAGGATAATCTCCTTCAGTTACTTCCTTGTAGCTTAACAGAACAATAGAGTAGTGACCTTGGAATGGAGATAACAAACGCCCTAACCTTTGGAATAGAATGGATAGGATTAAAATCAGCTGGTATAAATACAGATGTAACAGGAGAATAAAGATAGAACCTGGCTGGAGAACCTGACTAGAGAACCTAGCTAGGCTGCTGATCAACTGAACGCTGTCTCCGTGTCATTCCTTCTTCACCGACTCCGTCCACACCTTTGGGGACCCCTGGACCTGCTGGGGCAAGACCCCAACAATCTATGAATTTAGTACACAAACATGTCTATGATAAAGTTTAATTTCTAAATTAGGCACACTAAGTGATTAACAATAACTAATAATATAACAATTATAACAAAATACTGTTATGTGAATAAAGATTCTCAAGGTATCTTATAGGACTGTACTCACCTTTTCACTTCAAGGAAACACTTTATGGCTTCTCTTTGGTATATCCGAATTACCAACATTACTTTTGCGCTTTGGGGCCATTTTTAAATAAAATAAGCGTTACTTGAACACAAGTACTTGGGTACTGGGACAGTCAATTCGATAACCAAGATGGCTACTAAGTGGCTAAGGAGGGCGTATATAGCATGGATAGGTGGACAAAGGAATGTTTCATGCCCCAGGTGGGCAGAGTGGCAGGACATCAGGAGATTTCATGACACTATTCAGAATGGCTGCAATTTAAAACACTGAGTTGTTTATTTCTGGAGGCTTTCATTTAAGATTTTTGGATCAGACTGTGGAAAACAAACCCCCAGATAAGGGGGAACTACTGTATTGTGGCTTCTACTAGGCTTTTCCTGATGTCCATGAGTTTACTCACATGTGTTTTCAGACTTGTAGTCTAAGTGATAAAATTTTTAAGGATTTCTTCCTTAAGAATATGTTCTAATTTTTCTTTAATGTTTTTCATCATTTCAATCATCTACAATTCACGAGCCCGGAAAAGTATTTACCTCGTTAGAGTCAAACAAGTGAAATAACTAGCAAAAGACACAGGACGTTTTTTTTTTTTTTTTCTGGATCAGTGACTGTTCCGGACACGAACATTAAATGACTTAAAACTGTAACTTTCCAGAGTGCTTTCCCTAAAATAGTTTTGTGCAACTCATTTCTAGTCACAGCAGGTAAAATTTCTTCCAAAGCCCTTCAGACTAATTCTATTGCCATTTTTGCTACAGCACAACTGCAGGATTTAAAAGGCCAGGTTTCCATGCAGGCTTTCCTTGTCTCATTTCCTTATCACAGCATAAGAATCTCTGTTGTGTCCTTGGGTACTGCTTCCAGTCAAATAAAAAGTCGACTTAATCGCACTGAGAATGTCCAACAATCCCCTGGGAATGGAAAAGGGGAGCGAGGAATGCTTTTGGGGGCTTCTTCAAGAAGTTCCTCTCAAATTTGCATCCTCAAATTTATTCTCGAAGGCACACTTGGGTTTTCTTTTTCCCAGCCCCCACTTAAAAAAAAACTGTGGTAAAATACAGTAATAACAAAATTTACCATTATGACCATTTTGAAGGGGCATTAAATACATTCACCTTGTTATGCAACCATCACCACTCTCCATCACCAGAACTTTTTTCATCTTGCAAAATTGAAACTTTACCCATTAAACCTAGACAGTAAAATGCTCCTTGAATAGATAATGCCACATCGTTTTATATTTGTTTTTCTTTTTTTGTTCCAGTTTACATTCCAGTTGCTGGGTAGGAAACATTCATTTACTCCACATCCTCACTAAGACTAGGTATTTTCCTTCTCTCTCTATTCCATTTTGAAGTATAAAAACAACGGAAGCAAAGTGCAGACTGGCTTTGGGGAAACCTTTTAATTTCTGGTTTGGTTCTCTGAATTATTAACCACTTCAGACTTCTCCTTTGTCCAGCCACGAGGTGCGGACTGCGAGTGCGTTTTCGACTTTGTTCGACATGTTTGCTTACTCTGCCCCTCGGACGCCATCCGCTCAAGAACCTAAGGTGTGCGGCCAAGGCAAGTCCCGGGTGCCCTGAGCGCTGTGCCGGCGACCTTCAGGAGGCCTTCGTCCGCCAGCTTCCCTTTACCAGAATCCACGCTCCAGGAGCTCCAGTCGCCTCCGGTCTCCCCGCTGCTCACCGGGTTCCCGGGGGGGGCACGCGGACGCGGCGCGGTCCTCCGCCAGCAGCCGGCAGCCGGGCGGAGCCGGCGGGAAACCGGTCCCCGCG